CCCCCTCGTCTGGCCGCTGCTTGAGCCGCAGCGCGGCGCGGCCCTGCCCGGCTCCCCGGGCCGAGCTCGGCACTCGGAGTCTCCCCTTCCGTGAAAGAAATGAGTAAAACAGACACTCCGGTTAAGGGAATGTTGTAGTTTGACTTTATTTAGACTTTTCTATCGACACAGACTACCTGGACTAAGATTGCACCAGCTGCAAGGACAAGTTGTGAATACCTGACCTGCATTCTTACCATACTCGTTTAAATATGGCTTTAGAACAGGAGTACTGGAGTATTTCTTTTGAGGTGTTAATTTACTCATGCCTACTGAATCGGCTTTTAAACGTCATTTAATCAACCTAGAGTTCTGTTTAACTTTGTTTCAGTAGACTATTTTCTGAGCTTTGTTAGTAATGTTCAAAGTTAAGTTTATAGATCTGTGTTATCATTAATACTGAGCTGAATGTCATGTGTAAGTTTCCTTCCTATTTCTTTTTTTCTTTTTGAACAGGATATAATTAGCGATCATAATATTCTAATTATGTAGATCATCCCACCAAGGTCAGTTCTGCTACTTAAATGGTGTTTCTCCTTACAGAAAATTTTCACTTCCTACTAATTACTTGAGTCCTATAAGGAGTCGAGAGCGCTTTTTTAATTTTACACTGCCTTTGACGTTCCTTCAGTGTTTTCACCGAAAAGCTAGTTCACACTTGTGCAGTATCTGCAGCCTTTGTCCAGTGTGAAGCATCTTGTTGTGATCGCTGGCCTCAAGCTAAGAATCTGATCTCCTTTCTTTCCTAATGAGGGACGGTCAAGTTCTCCATGTAATCAAACCCTTCATTGTCATGGCAGCTGCATACTCCCCAGCTGTTAGTCTTTAAAATTCGGTAGTGCTCTTGACTTGGACTATAAGATCTCAAAGTACACTTGGATTTTTCTCGAGTTTTCATCAGAAAAAGCCTCTAAAACTGAATGGAGCCTTGCAGTCCTTCCCGGTCTTGCAATTCCATGTCTTAATTAGGTCAAAGAAAGGCAGCATCCTGTCCCATGCTGAGTTTTCTGTCTGTGCTCTTTGAAATTGTTACAGAGTGGTAAGGGAAACTACAAATCTTTTCATCAAGTGAGCAACCTTCAAACTGAGTGGCCCCATCTAATAGTTCTTAAGTAGCTTTCTATTTTCTCCATGAACAGTTGATAGCACCTTTCTTTGAGTATCTGGTAATGTGATACTCCTAACAGTATTGAATTCCTTTTTTCCTCCGAGGCCCAAGTTTCCAGCCTGTTTCTCTGGTTTCCACTTTCTCCAGTTTGCTAATAAGAGGTTCTCCTCCTTGCAATACATTGAGCATTGATTTCTGAAACTAGTTTTCAGAAATGTTTTCATGAGAGGAATGTTGAAACGGCTTCAGCTTACTGCTTTTCACTTCATTCCCAATACTGCCCAGTGGAAGTCTGTGGCTATTTTCAAAATACTGGAAATCCTTCAGGTGGGTTGTAGTTATTGTTCTGTAACCCTCTGCACCTGCCAGCTGGTTCAGGTGTGTTGCTGCAAGAAGAGCAGAGCAATGCTATCTAAACCTCCTCCAGTTTCTTTGTCCACCTGGCAATTAACTCCTGCTGCTAAGCTTCACCCCTTCCCTGAGGAGGGAGTCTTGGCTCCACCACAACAGTAACCGGCTTTCACCAGACCCTTTCATGAGATGAGCAGAGCTGAGACAGCAAAAAGCAAACTCCAAAAAGCTTATTTTGAACTTGTTGGGTCTTTTTGGTTTGTTTTTTTTCTTTGCTAGTTCAGCTGAAGGAACTGTCCTGCTCTGGGTCACACAAGTGCCAGCCCTAACACAAGGGAGGAAATCTGGCTTATTTTAGGCTAAACTGGCTAAACTTTCCTTAAGAGAAATCCCACTAAATCAAATCCACTGACACTTCAAACCCAGATGGAACAACCAAGTAACTCTGTGGAACTGTGTCAGAAGACAGGTTTAAATTGCAGGAGAGTTTTGGTGGTGTACAAAGGGCTGTCTCCTCGCTCTAATGCAGCAGCAGGCCACCCCCTCATCACTTAAGCCGGCAGCTTTTACTTCCTTCCTCCTGGTCCTGATGCTTATCTGAGCACAAAGTTAGTTCAGTGTGCTAGCCTGGCAAAACACTACCCCAGCTAAAAAGAAGGTGGTGCTAACGGATTCCTGCTTGTTCAGGGAGTTGAATAGGCTTAATCAGGGGATCTTATGAGCCTCAGCAACAGGGCAGGAGGCAGCAGCATGTGGCAGGGGCACCGAGGAGAACAGGGACGCAGGTCTTGTCCTTCCCTTGCAGCACCTGGTGGTGAGGATTAGGTGTTTAAGAACACATTGTCTGTGGAAATATTTGAATTGCTGAAAGTGAATCTGGAATGAATCAAAGCTTAGTTTCTTATTTTAAGTGAAATAATATCAGTGTTCTAAAGGGAATTTGCCAATTTGTAAAAAAAATATTTCATCACTGTTTCACTGGTATATTTCAGTTATCCATCTTTGTAGCATGAAATCTTCAGGAAGATGGTAATTCTTCTCACCTCTGCTTTTCATACTTGCAGTGAAAAGCTTCTAGCAGATGCACTGGTAAAAAGCCTTTCAGTCAGGAACAGAAGAACTAACTCTTAGGACTGTAGTGGCAAACACACTTGTATTTAGTCATGATGAAAGAAAAAGACAAGTTCAATTATGTGACCAAGCAAATAAACCTCCCCAGTGCTCCTGTTGGACAGTGTCTGTCGCTGTGCTCTAGATACCTGTCAGAAAGCATAGAACTTCTGTGGCTTTCAGTAAGTTTTAAGGTTGCTGCTTGACAGAAACAGGTAGTTTTGCTTCCTGGTTCACTTCAGCTGCAGCTCGGCCGACTGCAGACCCTTCAGTGTGGTTTGTTACTTGTGCTTGTTAGTTGGTTTACATTTTACTACAGTTCTGTTATATAGAGATAATTGTTTGGTTTATTTTGAAATGTTAAACTGAGTACCTCAGTAGTGGAGGAAAATGGATCTAAACATATTCCAAGCATACAGAAATCCCTAATGAGTTTGACAGCTAGTTTAGGATTAAAGCACAGTTTGTTTCACAGAAGAAATCAACGTTAAGGCAGTTTACACAGCGCTGACTTAAGGCACTTGAATGGTGGGTGGGACCAAGACAGAGGAGTCCAGCAAGAACAGCAGTTGCAAAAGAAATGCTAGGAAGCACTATGTAGGTGAGGTCAGGAGGAGTGGGAAAGCAAGAACAAGAGATTAGTTTCCTTTCAGGAATAGGCCTCATGGTTGTGCAGTGACAGCTTTTGATGCCTCCCCCCTCTGTTTTGTTAGGTTGTTGCTGACAGTGAGAGGCTTCCTCTGAAAGCAGTTTAAATGAGAATGTCCCTGGCGCAAAGAGTGCTGCTGACATGGCTTTTTACCTTACTCTTCCTGATCATGCTGGTGCTGAAGCTGGATGAGAAAGCACCGTGGAACTGGTTCCTCATTTTCATTCCTGTCTGGATATTTGACACTATTCTTCTAGTTATGTTAATTGTGAAAATGGCTGGACGTTGCAAGTCTGGCTTCGACCCTCGCAACGGCTCCCAGAACATGAAGAAGAAGGCCTGGTATCTCCTGGCCATGCTGCTGAAGTTAGCCTTCTGCCTCGCCCTCTGTGCTAAACTGCAGCGGTTCACTGCCATGAAACTGGCCTATGTATTCATCCCTTTGTGGGCCTTGCTCATCGGGGGCATGGTTGAACTTGGGTACAATATCTTCTATGTACGAAGAGACTGAACTACGCTGTGTGGTCTGCAACACTGAGCTTGGTACCAAGTTACTGACTGGTTACAGTTTTGCCACAGACTCAATCTCCAAAAAATGCTAAATAAGAAACCAATCAAGCTGGAGACTTTATCAAAACCAGGCTGAAGACCGAACGTAGACTCATTCCACTTTATTTTAAAAGTGTCACATATGTTCTTGTAAATAAAATTATTTGTTCAACATAGGCTGTTCTCTGATTATTATTTGGTTTGCTACATAGCATGAGATACAGACTCTTCACGTGCAGGTGGAATATCTTTTCAAAGGAACCACAAATGTTCTACCCCAAAGTATTCAGCATGAATATTCAGTATTCCTGGAGAGGACTTAAGTTTTATACTACTCACACTCACTCAGGAAATAACCAGTTAACAGTAATTTCTATAGTTTCTCTGGTGTGTTAAATTTGCTTTCTATAGTGTTCTGTAATTTCAGAAGTGTGCTGAATTTACTTTAAGAGTCAGTACCAATTGATAGTGGGAAAGAGGAAAAAAGGAATAAACTGACTCAGCATTTTCTTCTTGACAGCAAGAATCCACTTCCAGCGTGAAAGACTCGAAGCAAATAAACACCTCCAGCTGCTGAAACAGGTAGTAAGCAGCATGCTTACCAGGGGAAGGTGAGTAGCTGAACTGTGCCAGCAGTGGAAGCTCCAGGAGAGGGTGACAATGGTGATGACCTCTGCAAGGGAGAGAGCACCAGAGCCACGGCTGACAGAAAGCCACAGGTCAAGTTCTGCAATACATTTGCACCTGCAGGAAGTGGTGCTTTAACAGGGAAGTGATTTTTTTAATGCCCTAGTGTGTTAAAACTCTGGGGGGTGAACCCTTGGCTTTATGGAGTTCTGGCAAACTCAGAGGTGAGTAAATGAGCTCCATTTCAAGTTAACAAATGCAATGAATGGGATTTTGGGAATAGCTGGATCCAGAAGTGTATTTTGTGAACTGAAAGTGCTCTTCCAGGAGCTACAGTAACACCAAATTCCAATGTAAAAGTTGCCTAGGACATTAACATGCTTAAGACAGCGATCCCATCCCAGTTCCAGGTACAAAAGAATGTCTAGTGAATAAAAAGAGCCCAGGAACAACAGTCTACAGTAACAGGAGGTGACCAGATCAAAATGTCTCAAATAAAATTTTAGTTGGGTGCATCTAACTACTTGTGTTAGAAACACCTCCTGCAGTGTTTGGATTTGCCCTTGCTGTTCAGTCACACAGATGTGGGCATAAATGCATGGGGCCCATACTGACTGAAAGGGCTTCATTGAGGAGCAGGCTGCTCCATTCTAAGGCAATGGATCTCGATGATCTTCAGAACTTGAGTCATGTTTGCCTCAGAGTGGTTGACAGTTCTATCTTGCTAAAGGAGAAACCAAGGAATAACAAAACCACCAAACTTTCTAATTAGCTGCTGTTTAAAAAATGTCAAGTATTTATAACCCCTTTCTTATCATAAAAATAACACATCAACTATTACAAAGCAAACCCCTGTACTCAGCCTCAGTTTGTAAGTATCACATAATTTAAGGGGAGCTGAAACTACCCTTTAGAAATCTCCCTTCCAGTGCCTGCCAGGAACAGTTCTTTCAGGGAGTGTATCTATGCCCTACTTCATTCTGAAAACACTTCACAGGAGGACCTTGCTCTGTTTGAGAGACTTTGCCCACTCATACAAGGTTCCTGTGAAGAACTGGCTTCCTTCACTGTATGTGATTTCTCAAGTTAAAATGGTGCTTGTGATGAGAGGGCAAGAGTATTTGTGTTGGCACATGCTCTTGGGCCTGCTGAATGTAGGAAATGCAAGAGCAAGCGCACACATTGTGCTGTAAGGATACATATGTATGCATGTATATGGTATACAAAACATGCTCAATTGGTACATCCAATTTGGGCCTCTGAAGCATTCTTGAGCTCTGTTCCAGGGATGTGCCATGGCAGGCAAGCTGGACCTTGTGGAATTTTTACTGGATGGTTTAAAAGTTTATGGATAAGAAAGAGCATCTGAAGTCCTACCTCCAATTAAGGTAAACTTTTATGAGCCACTTAAACATTGCTTAAGTGCTTGTTCTGTATTTACATCACTGCAGACAGGACAAATACCTGCACACATATGCTCCTACTGTTTGGTATATTATGGCGTCAAGCCTAGAGCCAACTCCTCATAGTCTTTCCTCATCTGGCGATTACCACAAAATAAAAAGAAAAGCACCTTGGTCCCAGGATGCCCAAACACCCCACGCTGCTCAGGAGAGCACCACAGCTTCCCTCAGTCCCACTGAGGATGTTAACAAATCGCTGCTGCCACTTAGCACGTGACACCAGAGTAAGAACGAGCTTCATGAGGACTTTGTGTATTATTAGCAAGATTGGCCACAACCAGTGACTCTGCCCCCTTAATAAGCCACTTCCATGCCACAGATGTAACAATTATCTGAAAGTCTGGCATCTCTAACTAGAATCAAACAGTTGTTCTAAAAGTCCTTTTAATTGCTGCCTCCAATTCAACAGTAAAAGACCAACAATCTCAATGTTTTGGTTGTAGGTTTGGCCTCTTCCCTCCCCCCTTTGTTTTTTTTTTGGTTTTTTTTGGGGTTTTTTTGGTTTTTTTTTTGTTTGTTTGTTTGTTTTTGTTTTTTTTTTGTTTTATCCAAGTAAGAAGTATTCCCCCACAAACCTTGACATAAATGACAGTGATTTTCAAAGCTGAAGTAGACCTTGGTGTCCTACAGAAACTACACACAAAATTATCTCCTTTAGTAAAGGATGTTTTTAGGACAGAGCCACTTGGAAGTGCTCAACTTCATTTGCCAGTTCCCAGTCCTCAGAGATACTCTAGTAACAGGAATACCCCTTTTGACTTGGTATTTTGTCAGATTTAACTGACCTAAACTGTGCTGACACCCTTGTACACACAGTCTCACTTTTTTGTGAAGCCAGAACTTCACTGAAAAGGATTTATGACAAAGTGCACCGTAGCCCGTTGTGACCTTTCCAGAAACTGTTGCAGGAATTACTCAGAATTACCCCCTTCTCAGAAGCATTTAGAGCTTTGAAATGCAACCATTCTCCTCACACTTCTTCCTCAAATTTACAAGTTGATTGACTGACATTATGAAACCAAAAATTTTCAATTACCTGTTCATACTGCTTTTCTTTGTCACCATTTTAGACTAACTTCCACTTTTCTGTTCTTTTTATACTTGAAAAATACAGTTATGGGACATATACATCCCCACCTTCAAACTTCTAGCCAAGTGATAAATGAATGTGAGGCATTACCTGCTTTAACACCACTCTATTTTGGGAACAAGTAACATTCTTTTTCAGTAATTAAAGCTCCTGAATAACTGCACCCTCAGAAATAAGTTCTTTTAATTTGTTAGCACAGAAAGCATAGCACTACCATGTAATGCATCATGCTTCTTTTTCTGATTAAGATTGAGCTAAAAATAACTAGGCTTGAGTTGGAAAAAAAGCATTTGTACCTTTTAGTTGTAGTTTTGTAGTTTGAAGTTTTGCATGGAGTTAAGTCCCCCATATGAGCCTCTTAGACCTGAACAGGTCTGGTTATCAGCTTGCTGCTGAAAAGCATCAGGCTTTGTGGACTGAGGAATCACTGCCTTTGGACCACCAGAGAGCTCCTGAACACCAGTTCAACATTTTCTCCCTGTACTTGCACTGAATTCAGATGAAGAGTAGAAAAATCTTCAACCCAGTAACGCTGTTTTCTTCAGCCTGCCTTTTCTACCAAAACCAACATCACAAGCAGGCAAATGTAAGAGAAGTCTTCATACAGCGCAGAACAACAGCAAGAGCAAGAAACAGGGAAGAAAAGAGAAGCCAATCTTAGTTTATCTGTGTTAGCTTCTATTGTGATGTTCCTTGTAAACTATTAAGAAATCACTGCTAAAAGATGCTTTTTACTCTAAAAATATAATTTATGACATTAATGAAAGCTCTCAACTGCATCAATTAAACTGACAAGTACCTGAGTGTTACTGCATGCTTAGGGTGAACCTTTAGAAGCCTTATGTTAAATCTTCCACACACAGGTCTAATCCTCAGGGTTTTCCTCTTCTTGAGACACTTTGGGAACAGCTTCCTCAGCTAACTGCCCTGCTTGGTCCCAACACAACCACATTAAAAAAAACACCTGCCATAAAGAGCAGTCCCTAAAACACAGGCCTAAGCTCTACCAAACACTGCACTTTGTTCAGGTTGGACTGGAAATTTGGTAAAAGAAAATATCAAAAATAGTCTACCAAAAAATCAAACTTGATAAAACTAGAAATTTAAATTGCTGTTTTAATCAATGCTTGTATCACCTTATTATAACTGTACACCAAATACTGAAGGACTATCTAGGACTAATGCCCTCATCAGTAGGCTCACCTATCAGCACCACCAGAAGATGAGGCTTTCGATGTTCTAACACTCAGGTGCAGCATGGCTCCAAAGCAGAGGAGATATTGGCATCACAGCACAGCAGAACATGGTTAGAACAAAGTACGCTAGGTTTGCAAAGTCGGCATCCCTGGTGATTCTAACAAATTAGACACTGAAGTTAACCACTGCTTCTGAGTAGAACACAAAATAATTGGCATTTCTAAGAAAAAAATGAGTCACTGATGAGAATTGGCATTTCCCAAATTTTCCCATGTATGCTGCAAATTCAGTGGGATCTGCACAAAACATCAGTATGGCCTCTTGGACAGCTTCTAAAGTGCATTCTGTCTGTCCGAGGCAGTAACAGAGCCAGGGGGACACATCGACTCAGCCCAAGCAAACGGTCTCGGGGTCACTCCCAGGGAAGCACCGTGGGGTGAGAACTCGCCCACCCCTTCCACTTCCAACTTCCAAGGCTCTCTGCACATCTGGCCACCAGAAAAAGTCAATACGTTTACACTTGAGAAGCCTGCAAAGTTTTTATCTCTTGACCAGAGTTAGTACAGGGTTCATCCCAGCAGAGTCAGGTAGTAGTCTACTATCTCACAACAGTTTATTTTGCCAATGAGCATGGAGAAAACATGGATTTGTTTCAATCAATTCAACATCCTTATTCACATGCAGATATTAGAGAACAGTCATTTTGATCAATGAATACCAGTCCTGTGTTTCTTGGAAGACTTATTCAAATTTTCAAATCTCTAATGTTCAAATCTGTTTCACAGCATTCTACTATTTTATGTTTCCATTTCCTACATCATTTGCAACGTCAAGTTATTTACTGCGCACATGTAAATCTGCTCAAAAATCATTTTTATTTTATCACCAAGGAATTCTTTCACAGATGAATACTTAAATCATCACCCTCTGAAATAATACTTTATTTCTAATACTAGATAGAATTAATATTTCATTTAAAGAAGTATTGAAATATTCACTATATCAACAAGGAAGGGAAAATCTGCATGCCAGCAGTACCTGTAATGAAAATGCTGTTTCAGAGACAATTTGCAGGCATTTGTTTGGCTGGGGAATGACACAACACTGAGTAACACTTGTATGTAACACCAAGTCAGTTGCCAGTGAAATGCAAGAGATCCAGTAATTGTGTTTTTTTAAAAAAAGTAGCTACCATCTTGAAAGCTACCAGTAGTGACAGTAACAATGCAACTCTTTGCTACCCACAAATATGGTACCAATATCTAGGAAAACATGTCCAAGTTTCTACACATCATGTCATTAACTGGAACACCACTGCAAACGCACAGATGTTAGAACCATTGCAGTACAGGCAACGGACCTCAAGCAGATTCTCCAATCTGCAGAAGAACAAGGGCCAAGAGAGACAACTGAAACACTGGAGATTTCAGCTGAAATAACAGAAAAATTTCTATGTAACTGAAATCCAGGGAGCGGGGAAAAAAGCTATAAGCAAAGACTAGTTTCAGGACATCTGAAGGCAAGGAAGATTTATTGCTGAAGCCGAAGCCTGAATACGAAGTTGTATGTGGCAGGAGTAGAGGTTACAGCAGAGGACCACTGGAAACCAAAGCAAGACCTCTGTCAGATTAATGAACAATTTTGGAAGCTGGAATTCTCAGGTAAGGTATTCCCCTCTTAAAGAGCAACCACATCAAAACAAATACACCACAGGTAGAGGACAAAAACATTTTTTTTATTCCCCTCTTTTTTTTCTCTCCTTAAAAAAAAAAAAATCCAAGTAAGAAGTACACACTGATGTAGCCAGTCAACCCAGACTGGTTACACCTCTGATGGCCATTAGTAAGGCCAGTACTGTTCATATTCTGTCTGCAAGGAATCCTGTCTAAAAATGAGAACCTAATATGTCTTAGAAAATAAAAAGCATAAAAATTGCAAAAACTGCCACTTTATCTCTTAAAGTACTAAACGTGATAAAAATGGAGAAAGAAAAAAAGGGTTGAAGACATAGACAGTTTAGAAGCAAAATTTCAGAACCAAGATACACCTGAGCAGGAGTCTGAGGCCATATCAGCCAAGACCACTAAGCAGGTCTTCAAAAGGAAACAAATTTTTACTCTGAAGTGTGAAGTCATGCTTGCTAAACCATTTTCAAAGATTTTCTTTTTTTCCATCTGACAGAGCCTCTGATTGCTGTCACAGGGGATGTACATACTTTACTAAAATCTGACAGATTTAAAAAAAAAAAAACACCACTTGAACCAGAATGAGTGATGAGCATACAGCTCACCAGCATAAAAAAGCCATACCTGGCGAGGCTGGTTTTGATAAAGCTGGAGCCTTCTGCTAATCCCCCTCAAAAACTGCATTCTTAGTGCAAACTACAGCCTGCAGCTCTTCCCTTCTACTGTTCTCCCACAGCTGGCACACAAAACAGGAATGGGAGGCTACAGAATTGTGTATGGATATTCATAAAGCCAGAGATTATGAGTGGAAGCTTCCAGATAATCCAGAAAACACAGAGGGAGCTGAGACCACATTCCTGCTATCAGGAAGGCTCAAATTCCTACATGAACCAGTTAATTTTTCAAATGAGAATCTGCTAGAGTAGCAACTTACCATGTCACACATGAATCATTTGCTCATGGTGTGAGGGGAAGCAAGATCCCTGAGGCTGCAAAATTGGTAGTAATCTCTTAGCCAGCATTAAAGAAAATAGCAATAAGACTTAAGGACATATTAGCCACATCCAAGAGATTCCTGTTTCTATTGCTTCTCTAATACATCATTATGGCTATGCAGGAGCACTGTTTAGCAATTCAAATATTGATTTAATGAATAATTCCTTAACAGACCTATTTTAGACTTGAAACAAATCAGGGCAGTCTTCTGTTAAATGGCCGATTTAAGTGCCAGGCCTATGTATGCAATAACATTTTGGATTTTGCAACACAAGGGCATCAGGCAGCCAAATTAGACATCACCTGAAAACCACATTTTTCTACTGCTACAAACGAAGCCAAAGTGAGCACTAAGTGCATCAGAAGTTATAAACTGGGTACATCAGGACAGTTTTCTACAAGATATGGGGTGGAGCAGGGAACAGAGATAGAGGGCTTTGGAAATAACAGGCCTAGCGTCTGGAGGTTTAAATACTTAGCTGAAGGACAGGCTGTAGGGCAGTTTACTGCTATTTGTAGCTACCTGAAAAAGAAATATCAATCAGATATGTTTGAACTATACAGTAATATGTTACACAAATAAATAAGTTAAATGACAGAGGTTTTTGCCATTGCATCAGACACTAGCTAGCCTTGAAATCCTCTTCCCTCAGAACACAGCTTAAGAGAACTGAAGCATTCCAAAGCCAGGGAGAGGAGAACAGTTAACTTGAACACCACTGTGATTTTTTTTTAATGAAACAACTCTTGCTTCCAAACGGGGACTCATGAGGAATCTTCCTACTAGACACATTGGCACATATCTCTATTGCCTGGTGCTATCAGCACAGGGAGTAGTTCAAATCCAAATGTGTCTCTATGAATTACAGGCCACTGCTGATGTGGAGGTCTTTATAGCTTGGATAAAGTAACCATTTAAATCGTCTGTTTTAATTTTGGTGAAATAACATTTAATTTGAGGTGAGTGGTTGATTTTGAGGTTTGCTTTTTTTTTTTTTTTTTCCCCCCCAATGGGAAATGGAACTGCCTCAGCTGTGGCTTGGGCAGAGGGAAGAGACAAGCATAGAAGCAAGTTTGCTCCTTTGCACCAGCTCATCTAAAAAGATGCACAGTTACTGGTAGTGCTCCTGGAGCTCAGGGAGTGTCCAACTGCCCTCCATAACAAGGAAGGTTTGCCTCTGTTCCACGTGAACATGTGACAGCAGGAGTCTGGGGAGTGCCTTTAATGACTGGAAGGAACCCTGTGAAGGGACTCTGCGTTCTGACTAACCTCCATTTCCAAAGAATGCCTCAGCTCTACCTCTGCTACAGCTCCTCACCCCACAACGGTGTAAGGGCATCCTATGCATTAGTGCAGGTAGAAACAGAACCATTTAAAGAGGCAGTTTAACTGAATCATTTTTTGCAGACCCAAAAATAAAACCGATCTGTTATTATGAACCTTTATTAAGCGGCTCACATTTCATTATAAATCACACTAAAAAGATTTTTAAAAAAGATATTTACACTACAGTGCTGACACATTTAAAATGAAAAAATTGGTATAAATAAGCTCTATGGAAAAGCCTGGAATTGTCAAAAAGAATTCTGGCTCATCTTACAAAAAATATATATGTTAAATGTCAGCTCTACTCTAAAACCTACAACTCAAAACTATTTAAAGACTTCTTTATGTTAAACCTGCAGTGTTTACAGTGCATCTGGCCCTAAGTGCTTTGATACTTCACAGTTATGGACAGGCACTGAGGAATGTTACAAAGCTACATAACTATTTTCTGTAACAGATGCAAAGGCAAGTCATAAACTTGCCTCACAGAACTTATGAATCTTTACATTATTACATCATTAATTTTAAAAAGGAATTTAAAACCATATATACAAATTTAGCACAAAAAGTCATCCTCTCTTTGTCCATGCGGTTTTGGATGTGATGAACTATGTTGTCTTGTATCATCTGGATGTATGTGACCTCCAGGGCATAACTTGCCTTGTAAGTCCTTGTTGCCAGGTTCAAATTTAGAATCCATTTCCAGCTTAAATGCCGTCAACTCAACGTGATCCAGCCTAGTCTGAACATTCTGGCCCCCAACATCATTAGGTGCCACGGTCTTTTCAGCAGGGTCAACATTCACGGGTTCTTCTTTTATCCGGTGAGATGCAATAGGTTCATGTTTTATTGGCATAAACTCCTGTTGCAGATACTTGGTCTGCAGAGCATCTGAAAATTTGGTGTCTTCGGAGGTATTTTTGCTCATCGTACAAACTCTGCTGTCAGTTTGAAGTCCAATAACCGAAGACTTGGCATCTGCAGAGGTCCCTGCTTCAACAGTACTTGGGTTTTGAGAAAGTTCTTCCTCTGAATGATACAGCTTGAGCCGGATGTGCCAAGCCAAACTGCACACAGCTGAAACTGTTTTGAACTGGTGCACAACATTCCTCGGGATGAAGTAAATGTCATTGTCAAACAGCTGGATTCTGGCATACCGGATGCCTTCCCTTCGCAGCTGATTCAGTTTTGCATCATCAACCCACTGGACACACTGGAGGGAGAAAGAGGGAGGAAGGGGGAAGATGAAAACTCTGATTTAGGAGTCAGGGGACACCTGACCAACAGTTTCTAGCAAGCTTACCTGAGAGAGTGGAGGTTCATGCAAATCTAGTTGCATTCGCTGAACTACCTCCAAGAAGTCTTCAGCATGAAAACAAATTACATCTTTGGTTATACGAGGCTGCTCGGACCTGCAGAAGAGTAAGAATTACAGTGTTATGAGCTGAAACTGACATGCTACAGAGGAAAAAAAACCACCTTCAAGCAAGGATAAAGCAAACCAAAAAAAAAAAACCACACCACAATTCTAGTGTAAGCTACATTTTGAAGAAGAAAGTTTACTAAAATGGGTAACTCACAAACTTATTAAGCTGGTTAAACAAATTAGTCAATTTTCTTTACAAGTGGCACTACAGCAGCTATGAAAGGCCAACAAGCCTCACTATTTTTATTTCTTTTTAACTGACCTCTGCCTTGCTGTTGAAAGACAGATGCCCCAGATACATTTGGCTTGCTCTGTAACACTCAAGCAACAGGTACCTCAAAGTACACAGCAGTCTGACCAGCGCTAAGGCAAACGCTGCTCAGTATCTCCACCTCGGACACCTCCTGCAGAGTTAGTAGTGAGGCTGCACCTACATGAAACTGCCACAATGCCAGCAGCAATACTGGCATTCTCCACAAAGCATTCCTTAAAAACATTCCTGTTTGTGCTCATTAGAGAGCCACACAACAGTAAAATCTCAATTAGGGTTTGCCTTCAAACTATTGGGAGGTCACCTCTTGTCCCACAACACCCTCCCCAAAGAAATGCACACTGTCTATGGAATTCCTCTAGAGACATCATCTAGCATTAGCTAACAAAATAAAAGGCAAAACCAGCTACGATCCTCACCACTTCCTGACCCAAAAGTCAAACCAGTCATTCAGTGGTAACACAGAACTAGGTGCCTCCAACTCCTGCAGCACTACTGAGCGGCCTCTTCTGCTCCATGCCCTGATCCTGCTGCCTCCACCCCTGTCAAACGTGGCCACATGGTCAGGTCTACTGAAACCCAGAAAGGAGAAGATGCAGCAAAAATTTGATGTTTCAGAATTTTAGCATGTTGGTTTTTAAAAGCAAGATTATGAACAGTTATGTATATATGTGGTACTATTCACACTGTAAGAAGCAAACAGTGATGTACAATAACTGTACTTTTTAAAATTATGAAATGTGTTTATTTAGGTCATGACCTCAATAAAGTGAAAAATAACTAGTCTGAGGCTATTTTCAGGGGGGCAGAAAAATTCCCAGATGAACTACTGAAAGTACGCTAGGGAGAATTTTCAGACCACATATTTTACTTTCAAATTTTACAAAGATTAAAATGTCTCTCTGTATTTTGGTATATATACTCCTGAAGAGGATTTAAGCACTGAAACCTAGAAGCTTACAGAAACATCTCTAATCAATGGCATAAAAAAAATCATTTTTATAATTCATTCTTTTTATAATGTAGATATAGGTACTTTTAAAAATATATATCTGCATTTGGAGTTAATATTTATAAATTAAGCTAAGGATTAAAATAAATACAAAGAATATTTGCATACTAGAAGAACTTCAAAGCAATGTTTTCACAACAGTCTACTGTTTTACACATTATGCAGGACAAAGTATAATTAATGATGGTTAAAATCATTCTTTTTCTCAGTCCCCATCTATGTATGTGTAACAGTATGTATTACCAACCCTGTGCTGCAATTCTATCCAAAGTATTTTCTGTAAACAAACTATTGCCAGATAACGTGATAAATATCAAACCTGCAAATGCATAATTACAACTCTGATATTATATTTCGTAAAACCTAAAGATTAGAGGATGTCACCCCATACACATGCAAACAGTAGAATAGTTGAGTCAGATGTCCAGAAAGACATTAAATCCTAACAGAACTATAAGATGACTGCAGGGAAAAAAAAAGAGACACAAACCAAAAAACACACAAACGCCACACCACACACCAACATATTTAGTCCCTGCTGGAACTATTTTTGGCTTTACTCTTTTTTCCCCCCCTTAATCTCATTCTTTGAAAGGGCTGGACTCTTTTTGCTGTAACTTTTCAAAACAAATTCCAGACTACACGTTTTACCATGAATGTTTCCGGCCTAATGCATAAAGTCTGGCAATTTATAAGAAATTCATGTGATCATATAGAGGAAACACCAACAGCTTCATGCTCAGGAACATGAACTTGAAAGCTGCTTGTTGACGTACAGGACAGAAGGGTTTAATTTTGGCAACAGCACCACCATGCAGTACCTTTGGATGTCCCTATCAAAACCCACCCCATTTCCCATGTAAGAATCTTCAAAGTTTCCATAATCTCAAATGTCACTGGCATGTCATAGCTTCTAAAGCAGGTTTTGTATTACCTACAAAAATGGCATTAAGTAATCAGCATAATCACAACACCAGCGTTTATCAGACTCCAAGAGAAGTGCAGTCTTTTAAAATGGTTGCTAGCAATAGCCAGAACTCTTCTACAGTTTGCAGGTATTCACAAAAAGATGAGATCATAACCCTGTAATTTTAAAAAACATCTCAAATCAAGAGGCTGTTGTACTTGGGAAAGCAAAAATTCTTTTGTTCTTCCAAATACTATGTTTTGTTTCCAGTTCTGTCCTCTATCCCAAACAACTTCTGTTTTTCAACAGTTCAGTTTCTATCTCTTCTGAAAGATGCCATTTATCCCACCTAACAAACTATCATGTGTATCAACTACTAAATAAATCTCACTTTAAGTCTATGGCAATGGCTTGGTTACAAGGCTTTTTTCCACGCTCAATTCATTTTTATACTAACTAAACCCAAACCAAACTACTCAGTTCAGCAAGTCTAGGAACTGCTTTATTTTCTCCTCACAGGAAACATGAATTTTATATATGGTATCATATGATTGAAATGTGCATTTTTACTGCCATAGTGGCCTAATCACCCCTGGAGTATCTCCAGCTTCCAGTCCTGTTCAGCTACTCAAACGGGTTAAAAAAAAAAAAAACAAAAAACAAAAAACACACACATCACCCAGATTTTTCAAAACTCCCATATATGTTGTCTCCTCGGAAATAAATCTACGCACAGTATACAAGTTACAGTAAAACTCATCTCTGAAATTGTATTAATGTGTCACATTAATTAATGATGCTTCATTATCATAAGCCCTGATGAGTTCTCTTCACGTAGGTAGCTTTTCAAAATTATTAAAAAAAAAAAAAGAGGAAAGGGAAAGGAGAAATGATCATTGAGGTTAAATCAATCTTAAATTGTTTTATCTTAAATTTGTTGCATTCACTGTGCTACATATTTTCCTTGTCTATATGTCAGTCCCAAATATTTTATTCTTCATTAAAAGATACATTTTTAGTCCTTACACTGAAAAGAAATGTTGATAGTTATTTTTTTTGGTACCCCAAGCAGAAGCACTTTATAAATTTGTTGGTCAGTTTTGACTATTTTCAGATCACTTTTTCATCTCCATCATTTTTGTTTTGACTAATTCCTTTAATTTTTTAAGTTCAAAATGAGTTCTAATGGAAGTTGGATAGACACCCTTTTCCACAAGTTCCAACATACCAGAGAAGACGATGGTTTACTTCTGAAAAAAAGAATACTTGGGTTTAGCATGTAAATGAACACGTTATGATTTCCAAGGATCCTGCTATGAATGTACAGAAATGAGAATAGGAAGTTCCCACAGACATTTAAATTACTATAAATTTCAATTCTTATTAATTTCCACATGCATGCAAGTTTGGGGAGTGGGGTTTTGCTTTATGGGCTTCTTTTATGTTTTGGTGTGTGTTTGTTTTTACTTTTTTTGATAGAGCTTTGAGTATCTCTCTCATGTATGCAAAGTGTAATTTCAAATAACGAGATCTACACAGTATCTCAGCTCTTGCCCTTCTACCAGTGCTCAATCCATTTCAATTCACTCCAGCTTCTCACAACACGAACAAGCTGGAAGTTTAAGGCTTCAGCTACCATCAATATGATGAGGAAGTAAACTGAAAAGCTCGAGCCCAAAATACAAATACACTGACATCTGAACAACCCAGTTCTTCCCCAGTGTCAATGATTCCATTTTCCACCTCAATGACCTCATGCACTGTAACACAAATTTGCACCATTTCACCCAAAGGCAATTCACTCCTCTAATTTCTAGAGAGAGACAAAGAGCAAAAGGTAGTTTTAGTCTTTAGGTATGCAAAGGTAACTTCCAAAACCAAGATCATTCCACCAAACCAAGGTCAGAACATCCTGACAATCGCTTCCTAGATCTGGGCCAGTAAGCCCATATGATTATGGGCTTTTTATTTTGGCTAAAAAGTAAATAGCTTCAAATGAAACACATTCAGTTCCTGAATCTCACATGGGAATTCCACAGACACCACAGAGTATCAAACAGCCTCCAACAGGATTCTGCTACCATAAATAAATCAGCATTCTAACAGCTGACTTTCAGGCAGAAACAAAAATTCAGCTCATCTTCAGACAAGACCAAGACTTGCCAAAAGGTCTTCATGTGCACCTCTGAAGCAGCAGCTCAGGTCAGTCCCTACGCACTACTGAAAGCATGAAGTATTTTTACTTTTTTATATTAACTCAGTTATAGCAACTCAATTATAACTATTAAACTGTCACTGCAAGGAACCCTTCCAATTTTTACCACGCAGCACAACTATGCGGTCTAACAGAGGGCAGACAAACATACAGTGCACAGAGATGGGGGGCAGGGGGCTAAGTCCAGTGTCTACTCATCTTCATTAAACCTCTAAACACCAGCTTAACAACCCGTGCTCCGTCTGCCGACGGCGAATGGAAGGGAGGGAACTCCGCAGCGCCCGGGGCAGCGGGGCTGCACCTACCACTCCCCGCAGCGCACAGCCTTCAGCACGCCCACCGCCGCCGTCGTCTGCCGCTCGAAGCCTTGGCCGATGTGATCCGCGTGGGCACGCGTCCGGTCTTCGAACAGCATCTCGCGGGGCTCGCTCGTTCGAGGTAGGTACTGCAGGTTTTTGATTTCATTGGTAGTTCTGCACAAGAAAAGCAATACTAGTGACACAGAAGTTCCTCTTAGTGATCTTATTTCCACCATAGTGAACACGACTGGTTTTCTCTCTTCATTGAGAACACAAATGCGAATGAGAAAAACAGTAACATTTAAAACAAATTCAAAATGCAATTTGGTATGCAGAAAAAATAAATCAGAACACCTATGCAATAAATATAAAGCCAAACCAATCTCCCAAAACCCACACCACCACAATATTAGGGCTCCAAGTGCACTTAAAGGCCCTAATGAGCTAGCAGCCTCACCTTCAGTCTCCACCCACAAACCCAGGCAGCAAGCCTAGCTCTATTTAAGCTCAGGCCTGGGCCTTCAGTCCTGGCCTGAGCCATGCTCCAGAAGAACTGGCCTTCACCTCACCCACAGATCTACTGGGCCACACACTTGCTTCCCAGCTTGACCTCAGAATGGCTTTGCCACAACAGACCCGCCTGGGTCCACTGGACGTGGTCCTCACTGCAGACTGACTCTGCCATCATCACCATACACTTGCCTGACACACTGGAAGTTTGGGCTGACTTTGGCCCCAAACCCCAGGTCTGCCCTACCTACTACCCTCAGGCACCATCATCAGCCCCTGGTAGGGAATTACCCACCTTTGCTGCTTCCTGACTATTAGATATGCATTTTAACTGTCTCTGAAGCCGTTCATCAGTCATGTTTCTACCAAACCACTGGGAAATGTGTATCTAATTGAGTTCCACATTGTAGAACTAGGAATGAGAAGCAGCAAAAGATTATTTCTGGGTTTATATACAAGTAAAGGAAACACTGCAAAGCAGGAACAGAGCCACAAGCCCATTTTCTTGGCCACCTGGACCAAACACTGTGTGCCATATTCTTCCAAGAGCTGCTTATATTCATAACATAGCCAAGGTTGGAAGAGACACCTCAAGACTGCAGTCCAACCTCCCTGACTCAGACAGAGCAGAGTGCTCAGGACTGTGTCCAGTAAGGTTCTGAGCAACTCTAAAGGTGATACCACAAGCTCTCTGGGCAACCTGCCCTAGTGTTCAACCATCCATAAAGTAAAAACTTTTTCCTTATTTGACATGGAATTTCATTGTATTTCAGTTTGTGCTCATTATGTCTTGTCATGCCACTGGGCACTGCTGAAAACAAGTGCTTCTTACAACCTCCCATTAGATGTTTATACAAAGTCATAGGATCCCACTGAGCCTACTCTTCTCAAGGGTAGATCCCAATTCTCCTACGCCTGCCTTTCATGCCACCAGACCTGCCCCTGTATGCCCATGTCTGTCTTGGACTGGAAAGGCCAGAACTGAGCATGATAACCCAGATGTCTCTTCAGTGATGAGCAGAAGGAAAGAGTCATCTCTCTTAACCCATTGGCAGTGCTCTTCCTAATCCTGTCCTGGAGGCTGCTAGTTTGCTTTGCCACGGGCACACTGATGGCTTACGGTCAAACTGTCATCCACCAGGACCCCAAGTCCTTCTGTGTCAGGCTTCTGTCCAGCCAGTTGGCCCCCAGCCTGTACTGGTGTATGGGTTCTTCCTCCCAGGTGCAGGGCTTTGCACGAGTCTGCTGCGCTGGCCCATTCCTCCTGCAGGTCCCCCCACTGGCAGCGCAGCCCTGCGGTGCGCCAGCCGCTCTGTCCAGCCGTGCAGCCCTGCACCCTTGCTGAGGGTGTGCTCTGTCCCCGCACGCCAGGCAGCAGTGAAGGTGTTGAGCAGGACTGGCACAGGGTGTCAATGGCACAGTTACTCCAGCAGTGACTCTCCTCCAGCTGAACTTTGTGCTGCTCATCATAACCCTTGGAGCACAGCATTTAAGCCAGTTCTTGAACTACTTCACTACCCATCAGTCTGATTTGCCCTTCGTTAATTTATCTATCAGGATATCATGAGAGACAGGCACCCAGTGTGCCAAGCCTTGCTAAATTGAAGATTAACACCACCTTGGCATTCCTCTCATCCTGTGAGCCAGCTGTTTTGTAGAATGTTATCAGGCAGGTAAGGCATGATTTCCCCTTTGTAAATCAACAGTATCTTCTCCCAACAACAACTCTGTCCCTCATGCTTGAAATGATGTCCTTTTCCCAGGATGAAGGTGAGGCTGACCAGCCTGCAGTTCCCCAGGTGGCCCTTCTAAATGGAGTGACATTTGCTTTCCTCTAGTCCTCAGGAACCCTTGCCAACTGCCATGACCTTTCAAAGACAACCAAGAGTGGCCTTGCAATGATACTGGCCACCTCCCACAGCACTTGTGGGTACATTCCATTAGGTCCCATGGACCTGTCTCATCTGTATGTCCAGTATGTTCTTTAACCTGATTGTCCTCCACTAACACCAATCAGTCCTTGCTCCAGACATTCCTCCTGTCTCAGGGACCTGGTTTTCCTAAAGGTAAACCTCACCAGTAAAGACAACGGCAAAGAAAGCATTGAGTATCTTGGCCTCTTTGTCTCCAGGCCATTTACCCCACTCACCAAACTTCCTATATTTTTCCTAGTCTTTCTTTTGCTGTCCATATGCCTGTAAAAGTCTTTGTTGCCCTTCACATCCCTTGCCAAATTCAACTCCAGATGGGCTTTGGCATGAACTGCATCCCCTTCATGGCTGAACAGTGTCTTTACACTCCTTCTGAGGCACCTGACCCTGCTTCCACTGTCTGTATGCCCCCTTTTTATGTTTGAATTTTGAACAAGAGAATTCCAAAGACAATTTCTCCTGACACAGAACATCCAAGTTCTGCAGAGGACATCCCCACTACTAAGCTGGTACTTAAACTCAGTAGCACAACAAAGCTTAAAAATGTCATTTAATATTGGAGCTATTACCTTTTAGATGACAGAGATGCCCTTCTCCCTTGAGGTTTTTAAACATCCACTGATATTTAATAATAGGGGTATTAATTCCAGTCTCATGGCATACATCAATAGTTACCTGCCTATTCACACTTCCCTGCAGTTTTCACCTCAGATTCCTACTAGAGCTACGAAGACCAGCACCTTACTTGGCCAGAGAGTAAACAACAACAAAAAAAAAACCCACACACACCACACAATCACATCCTTACAAAACAAAGCCATTTACAAGTATATTTTGAGATGAAGACTTACAGAAATTTATACTAAGGTAAGTATCAACCAGTAAGGCGTCTGGGACAAAATGAATTTGCAGAGAAAGAAGACTAACCAGACATTTGTCAAGCAAAATAATTCAACGTACCTCTTCCTTTTGAAAGGTGACTTTGGCATGTCAGCCACAGGGATCATCTGTTCTCCTGGACGTACCCACATAATGGGACCATCATCACTGTCTTTACGACTCTCTAATTTTAAACTAGAAAGTGTTCCCCATGGCAGTGTACACTAATGGGAAATACAAGCCACAGTTTTCAAGTGAGTTACTTCAAAAACTTTTTCAAAGCAGCCTTTATCTGTCACAACGGAAACACTTATTAGACCACTCAATTATCTAAGCATGTATCAGATAGTCTCAGTTTATGATAACAGTACTAGACAGTGTATTGTCCCCCTTCTCCCAACCCCTTCCCTTCTGTCCTTACTTTTAAGAAGGGTGATTCTTCCAACATATCAAGGAATTCAGGGAAGTAATCCCCCACTTCCTCATCAACTGCTCCAACCAGGCTGATCTGTCTCATTGGGCCAGCTCTATACGTACCATGAGAGTATGTTCTTTTTACCTACAAGTAGAATATGACAGCAAACGTTACACCAATTAAACACCGAGTCTCTATGTTTCCAAACTAGTATTAGTCCTACAGTCTTCAGTATACTTAAGATTATTACAAAGTCAATTACTATGAACTCAAAGACACAAGTTCTTATTAAATGAAACCGAACGTCATTTATCTTTACATTAAAGTCTGAAGGCAAGATGGAGTAATTATCGCTTTTCAAGAAAGGAACATTCAGAAGTAGCAACTGTGAAAACCTCTTTACATATGTTCTGCTCAATACCTAGTGAGCAAGGATTCTTACCTCGATTTCTCACGTCTAGCTGAATTTTTACCTTCTTCCTGTAACAGCTAGGCAGAACCCTGAGTTACAACTAATTGAACTCTCAACATTTCATCTGCTCACCATCCTCTCCAGTATGGTCTCTATGTGAGCACATTAACTGGAGCTCATTACTGGAACGAACACAAGGCTTGTAAAGAACAAAGGAAGAGAAAGCATGACAGTTATTCCTTCATTTTTTATGTGCCTTGCTAACATGTCTTGTGCTCCCTTAAACCTTTAAGAGAATTAGCAGCAGTTCCTGAACACAGGACTAAATCATACTGTGTGGGATACTGTGGCCTTCTGAGAAGCCAGACTGATGTAGCCAGATGCATTCTAGGACTGCAGAACCAAAGAGTCTCCTTCAGATAATCTCAGTCATCACACACACCCAGGAAATGGAGGACTAACTAAAAGCAGGATTTTACAAGATGTCTAAGCTAGTGTAATGACAAGCCATCACAGCCATACTGAAAAGAGCAGTCCCCTGTTCCCCAAATCCCTAGTCATACATTCCAGCAGCGCTTTTTTCCCCCCTCCACGGACATCTGGTGATTTTGTGCTAAAGTATCAGGAAAACATTCATTTCTCTTGAATGTGCATGAGCTCAGTCCTCAGCTGTATCTGCACTGGCACAAAGCATCAGAAGCTCAGACAACTAAAGCACTGTGACAAGGAATGGACACTCACTTCGTCTACCAAGTAAGCCAGTAGTGACAATTCCAAAGTACCCTAAAAACACTTTCTGAAGCTACAGATAATCATAAAACTGTTATTCATGGTGTATCAGCAAGCCCAACATGCAAAAGGGTGTTTCCTCCACTGGCATAAGTGGCTTAGTATCCTACCATTGCAAGCCAGGGTATTAAGCTGCTGTTTTCATCCACACTCTTGATTAAAGGGAACCATTTTCTGCCTTTTTCCTAGTTTCCTTTTGCTACCACTACCATTCTCACACATAACAAGCGATAGGACAAGAAGAAATGGTCTCAAGTTGCACTAAAGGTTTAGATTGGATCTTAGGAAAAATTTCTTTACCAAAATTCTCTATGTATCCTAAACGTTAAATTATGCATTGACCACAAATCAAGATAACACAATTTTCACAATGAAAACTTCCCAAATATAAGTTTACAAATGAAATCATGACTGTTTCCAGAATGTTACAAATCTGCTCAAATAAATAGCTATTTAAATCCAGAATAAAAGAATTAATTAATGGCATGCAATTCTTCTAGCACTTGGTTAACATGATTAGAATCCATACACATACACAAAAAAAGTCACCAATTAAATTCATTCCAATATAACGGACAGGCAAAATAGACAGAAACATAACCAAATAAATACAATATAGTCCAACTTATTTCTTCTGATGTAGCTTAAATTTTAAATGTCACCTAAAAAACACACAAAAGGAGACTGTGTCATTCTCTTTCATTAAGGTAATGGAAAATTATGGCCATATAACTACACCAAATTCAAAATTAGTATAACTTTAGAATTATCTGCTTCTGTGACTTGTATGGCATCAACTTTTGTTTTAGTTTAACTTGCTCAGTTTTAAGCAGAGAGTTCTAAAAAGAGAGTATTTTGGCATAAATGTCTTGGTGTCTAGAAGAATCTGAAGACAATCTTGTACATATACATATATATATAAATACTGACAACAATATATTTCAACATTATCATCCTACAAGGAGGAAACATTTTAGACACTGTACATTAAAGATGTTTCCATTTTCTGCTGAAAAAGACAAACTGAAAGGAACAGTGCAGAGAAACCAAGCATTTCCAGAGATTAATTTTTAAAAAAGTAAACTGGGACAAGTCACAACTGAATTCCTATTTTTAATATAGTAAGGGGTTTCCTTTTCAGTTGAAGTTCTAACATTTTCCTGCGAGAATCTTAAAGGTTTCAATTTCCTTCAGTGTTCCAGCATTACAACCAGGAAGTTTGGAAGGAAAAGCAGACCTCATAGAACAAAGCAAAAAAACACTGAACCCAAAGTAATTTAAAGAAACCCACAAAGAAAGCCCTACCAAAGACCAACCTCAAAAAAAAAAAAAAAAAAAAATCACAATAAAAATATGCTGGGAGATCAGAGGGAATAGCAGATTTCCATTGCACTACTAGAAGTGCACAAGCAATGCACTTACACATTTGTATCTTAGAACTGCAAACATTCAGTTTCACATTCACTGCTAATCTCTTATCTCAAACACCAGAGTCACAAAGAGGCAACTTAGTATTCCTTCATATTTGGTGCCCAAAGGGTTTTCCTTGCCAACTCTTTTCAAATCCTTAAATGCTTATGTGTATTATCAATTCCAAATGGGAACCAATACTGAAGCATCAACTGAAGAAATAATCATCAAAATTGTTCCATGTTTAAAAATATTTTCATATCTATTTTTAAACCAAATGTAACTCATACTATTTTATACTTTTTTTCCCTCTCTTAAGTCAGGGTTTTGGTATCTGAGTAAGTTGCTTTGACAGTTCTAGCATTTCTCAAAGATTATCCATCATTTGGTGAAGTTAAAGCTTTATTAATATTTCATTTCCCAACTGGAAGTTTCTAAAAATGCAATCCTAAGATTTTTACTGCAGTTTAGTTCCACCACTGTCCTTTTACCATTATAGTATCAATTCACATTTCACCTTGCAGTGGAAATCCTCAAATACAATGGATGTAAAAACATTTTTAAAAGCAAGATGACCTATTATTCTGAATTCCAGTGACACAAAAACAGAGAAGCAGTCAAAGATTTTTTTAAAGCAATTTAAGGATAACATCAATTAGATCTCTTCATGAAACATGGTCCTGTGACAGTAAAGTCGCCATTATGCTCTTGTAACTCAGGAAGACAAAGTTCAGTCTCAGATCCTGTCCCAGCTGCCAGTACAAACCTCTTGTATTTTGTTTAGGGTTTGGCTTTTATTAATACAGAATATGGGAACAAAAAGAGCAATATACAACTGTCATTCCATATTTATCAGTTGAAAGTGTCAAGAAGCATTCTAGAAAGGTAACTATTATTTAAGTAGAACACAAATGAGTCAGTCTTGCAGATTTCTAAATGTCATTCCATGTGAACTGGTTCTTTATTCAGTGCTATTCAGTAAGTGAAAACTTCCTTTGCTTGGAAGACAATAGGCTGCCATCACCTATCAGGAAAATCCCTTACATGTAGTCCTACAGATTATCTGATTTAAAAAAAAAAAAAAGATGGGGCAATATACATGCTTTTTAATAGCGCTAACACTGATTTTTTTCATTCAGAAGGAGGGGGAAGAAAAAAAAAAGGTTATGCTTTGGGGAATCCGCATAACAGCAAGCAGTTGCAAAAAAACATGAATACTGTTTAATAACTAAATATTTAAAAAGCTTAAAAGCAACATATGGAAACAGACACTGTACAAATCTTTAATTATACAAAAATGAAACAAATAGATTTTTTCAGATTTTCTTTAAAGAAAAATATTTTCAGCAATTCCCCTCACATACGAGAACAACATTTTCAAGCAGGATTTCACAAATTATAAAAGGAGTAAACAGCAAAAACCTCTGCAAAAGAAACTTTTAAGAGTTAAACAAGGACAGCAAAGAGACGATAATATTAAAAGGAGATAAATGAGAACTGAAATGAGAAGTTCTGTGTCTAGAACTTTAAGAAGTGAGGACAACTGCTCATTTGAGAAGTTACAACAGAAACAAACTATCACTACTACTACATTTCTTCCTCTAAAATACGTATATGATTCTTTATAATAATCTGAATATCCAGTGTTGACCACAGTTAACACAGGCAACATGGAATAAGTGACTTCAGACTGAAAAAACCAAAGAAACAAACAAAACCACAAACAACAAAAATGTTCTCTGAAGATGCCAGCTGCCTGCTGTAGCAGAATGGGACCCATGGTGTAGTCCCACACTCATCCTCGAGCTACCTCTGGTGTAGTAAACTCATGTAATCTGCTAATGCAACAATAAAACAAATCACCCAGGAGTAGGTGAAGTTTTCTGCTGGATTTACAAAATAAACTGACTTACCAGTTTGAGAAGCACCACAGTTTGGCACAAGAACATGCAAGGCAAAAGCAGCGAGGGGAATGTTGTCTTTTAGCAGCAACAGGTGATGGATCTGCTCTGAGAATTTGTCTAACTTCACACTAAGCAGTGGAAAAGAGAAGTGACTTTTCCTGAACTGCCTTAACGATGAGAACCCTCACGGACCCTACAACACCAAAGCAGTAAGCTAAAAAGAAACAAAGCTTCAATAAATCCATGAGAATTCAAAAACACGACCCACATTCTTCAAAGCTGGAAGAGGATAATATATAGAATCATAGAATCATTTAGGTTGGAAGGGACCTCCAAGATCATCAAGTCCAACCATTGAGCTATTAGGGCTCTAAAGTCCTCTGCTAAAACAGATCAGAATCTGTCAAGGTTGGAAGGGACCACAAGGATCACCCAGTTCCAACCCCTCTGCCATGAGCTTCAAGAAACAGGCAACAACAGAAGCAAGACACAGAAGAGCTGGAGACCATTTAGCCTTGTTTCAAATTCCAGAAAAAGCAAGTTAGCTAGATATTCCTGTCCTAGCCACATAGAAAATAAGACGGTAAAAGCTAATACACACAGACATGCCAAAGAACAAACAAAAGAAC